AAACCACAGACCCCTAGAGAGATCTGCTAATCCCGAGAGGATAATTCACAGGAGAAATATGGTGAAATTTTGAGGCTTATCTGCAGATCCACCCTTTCTAACTCTACGGGGTTTCTTGTCCTCACCCTAATTCCCTCCTGCTATTTCTCACACACTTTTCATGGTTCTGTACCAGTGAAGGTCTCAGAACACCTTGAATCAATACAACCTGTTTGATTCTTTTCCTTGTGTCTTTTAATACTTTTTGATCATGGGGAGTCACAAAGCCTGCAGCCTTTCACCATGTGTGGGCAGGCAGCTCCCCTGATATGTTAATTATGAGGAAAAAAGGACAAAAACACTTCTCCCTGCTCAAGTACAGAAAAATGTAAGTGAATATGGAGTACAGTAGGACTCAAAAGGCTATGTCCCACGTAACCCATCAACATTTATTCCTGAGCTTCTTATTACAATATAATATTCTGCTTCTATTTTGAATTTTCTGTACATGGAATGACAGGCAAAAAATTTAATGTTCAGAATGCTGGGACTATTTATCCTGCAGTAGTTAATAATACTCTTTCTTTCTTGTTTATCCTTCATAATAATTGTCTTCTTCCCAGCAGTTAGATTGCTTTTTATTTATATTTACAATTAAAAAAAAATTTGCAGTTTTCATTAATTTTTGCCTACATACAATAGTATGTTTTGTGGCATTTTAACAAATTAAATTTCACATGGTCAGTTTTACCAAACTGTAATTCTACAAGAGTAGTTCTCATATTCATGTACTGGAAAGATGAAAGAGATATAATAACTCTGGAGGTAGTGACTAGGTTGTAAAGTTTGACCTTATGAAAGAAGTAATGTGAGGACCATTTAAAACTAAACTGTTGGAGGTCTGTAGTATTTTAGGGCCTGTCACAGTGTCCCTCTCACAAATATAAAAGCTATCTAACCTGTTTTGCAACTAAAATTAAAGTTTATTCCAACTAGTCTGTTCACAGAGCCAGATTCTAAGGGCAACAGTGAGTTGGCAAAACCCAGGTCAAATCCATCTTTTCCATTTAAGAATTTCTCTTTCAATCCAAGGTTTAACAAGAAATAAAAGGTTTTATAGTAAATTTGTTTATAATTTAGAGGATATACTTGCCATCTAAATGTCTGATTTCCATCACTATAGGCTTTGCCAGGAGCACCTCCCAGTGTGCTGAAACTAGTCCTACTTCCCAGTGAATTCTCCAGAATTTCAAAGGTATCTGTGTGGCCAGCTTCTGCAGAGTTGCCACCTAACATCCTTCATAATGTTGGCTGAAATCTCAAAAACTGATTTTTTACTAATGAATTAGTTTTGATGCACAGAGCCTCAAGTAGTGCAGCTGCTTTGCAATCTGAACCATGTACTCCATCAAGAACAATGATGTTGACCACACCTTGCAGCCAAATCTAGCCCTGCAGGTCAATCTGAGAGATACAGTGTCTCTGGAGGCAAATCAGTCATATAAAAATCAATATAACCCCACAAAAAGTGTAAGAAGAATATACGCCCAGTGAGCTTATTAATAGGTTTCTGCAACCTGTCTTTTACATTTAGATAATCAATAAATTAAGAAACATCACTGTCATTGTTTAGGCATATAAGCTTGAAGGCTCTATTTCTCAATTACACAATTTTCTTGGATATTATCTCTAATCAAAATACCCTACTTGCTAATTCATGTCCTAAAGAGACATTTTGAAAGAGGGAGTTGGATTCCCTGACTGGTTTAGAATATAATGAAAACTGAATGTTCATGTTTTAACATATTTTCAAAAGGAAAACTCAGCTTACTTTTAACCCTAGAATTGTGACCTGGTCCCTGGTTCACTAAGCCCCTGGCAGGCACTGGGGCTGTTGAGAGCTCCCACCAAAGCCTTGTCCTTTCCAAGTTGAGAAGACCCAAAACCTAAGGCACTCATGGTGGCCCTTTGCTGAACCCTCTCCAGGCTTTCAGTGTCTTACTTATTTTTTTTGCTGTTTACTAATACATTACAGCAGCTCTCCCAAGGTGATTGGCAAAACAGAATCACAGAAGCCAGTGCTGTCTTTTGATTAAAAAGATGTTTTATGCTGGTAGATTCTAGCCTGAAGTCTATCGGTGACATACTGTATTTATGAATTTTCTCATTCTTACCTTTGATATTTATAGTGTCTCCCCCTCTTCTAGGCATGTAATAACTTATTTACTCACAAGTCACCTGAGAAAAGAAGTTGACATAGTAATATTGCTGTACTTAGAATTAGTAGAAATAATGGAGAAATGGTCTGTATTAAAATATGATCACTGACTTGAGCTGCATAGAATAATTTCCATTCTTTTTCTCCCAGAAGAAAAGTTGCATATTCACTTTTAGTTTCAGATCCAAATTGCAGGAATGTTCAACTGAATAATGCACCTATTTCCAATTATGGAACTCTTCTGTGCTCCTGACTGATCTTTTCCTGTGGTTTAACTTAACAGCAGCAGAGAGAGGCTGGATGGGAGCAGTGAGAGATTACATCACATCTGTCTGAATTAAGGTTACAAACAGCTACACTAAATTGAGCTGAATGGATAAACAAATAAGCAGAACTTTCCCATTGCTTCCCAACATAAGTCACAAGAGCTCCAGCCTGTGGCAATTTCTCCTTTAAAGCAAGACTAATTAATTTCACTTTTTATTTTTTTTTTTGTACATATTAATACCTTTTATAGGTCCTTAACCTGAACAGTCATTTAACTTTAAGTTTTAATGTGTCATATGTCTTCAATAAATAACTTCTAGTGTTGTTTCTTCCACCTTATTTTTCTCCTCTGCACACCATATATACTTCTACATATACAAATGCTATGCCTTCTCTCTTTATAAATTATAAAGGATTGTCTATATTAAAGATATTCTACTCTGTTTTATTTAGTTTCACTGATTAATTCTTTTGTTCACTGACCATGCAAATACTTTGAATGCAACCAATGGAAATAATCTCACAACAGAACAACAATTATTTCAGTTTTACATGTACAATGAAAACATTTTCTTAGTATACATCACAAGAAACTGAGTCTGAAAAAATAAGTTCCATCCCTCACTTGGTTACCAACTTATTTTTTTTGATCTTGACTGTATAAAAGACATCAAGCTAAAACTTGATGCTCAGGGTTCTTCACTATTTGGTTCCAATCTGCTGTGTGAGGAACTGAAGCTGCCCTTCAGGGATCCTTAGCCCAGCAATGTGACAATGGCAGAGTGCTTTGCCTCCTGCCTTTGGAGGAGAGGAAATGGAGAAGAGATTTATCCACACTATGCTAAAGAGCCACTGAGGACAGTTAAGAAGCATATTTTCCAGTGTTGAGGTTAAGGAGTTAGCTGGATAAGAGCCAGGATTAAAAGAGCTGCAATAACTCAGGGTTGTAGGTCTCAACTGATTGTCCACAGGTTTGGCTTAGTTCAAAACCACCCTGAATTTTGGCAATACTGAGATTCTGCCTCTTCAAACCTCATTAACAGTGACCTGACTGCTACAGAAACATCACCAAAGCAGCATGAACGAGGAAGGAAATGTGATGTGAGGAAAGATAAAGGACTTTTGACAGATGAGTTTCTTGATCAAGCATATACAAGTAATAAAGGGTAGTTTCAAGACTTGTGTGACCTGGTCTGACAAGAGTTATTGAGTAAATCTCACTGGTATCTCTGAGAGAGGAAACTGTAAGAAACCCCTTATCTGAGATTCGTGGTACTGGGCTGGACGTTTTGAAAGTAGACTAAAAAACTTGTCACAGTCTCAGTTTCTAGCACTAACAAAAAATAAAGAACTTGACCTGCTCCCTGTAGTGTTTTCCTACTTCATTAATTTTCCTTCCAAAGGCTTGGGCTTCAGCTTCCCTCTTTAGATAAACCATAGCAAAACCAGGTGGGAGGACAGATTGCAACAGCAGAGTGCAAACCTGTAGCTACTTTCTGGAGAGAACGGGGTATCAACCATGCTCAGTGCTAAAACCTGGAACATCTCGTTGGACACTCTGGCTTTTGCAAGCCCCTCTGAGGCTACAACATCAGAGGGGAAAGATTTAACATTTACTGATTGATATTTAGTAATTCTTTACCAAATTTAGGTGCAAGTCTGCCAAATCCTCCAGACCATACTTTTCCCTACACTTGTTGCTAAGAAAACTGCACCAGATCTTTTTGGCTGATACAAATGAAAATAGAATTCATGTCTCCAAGGCAAAGCTACAAATTGAAATTATGGAATAATTAGTTCACAATATTGTGATGGCTCATAAAGAATTCTTACAAATGAAATGAAATCACAAGTTTTCTTACTGCTTCTTTTAATTTTAAAATATTTTAAACAAATTCAATTCCCCAACACTCCTTCTAGGTGCCTTTCCTTGTCCTTAGAATTCCAGTGGATTGTATCAAAAGGGAAAAACTGCAGTAATTTTTCAATGATGTGGTAATAAATCTTGGTATATCTAATGGTGATAACAAGAAATGATGAAACTGAAGGGTATTTTCAGTATTAGTCAATCTAGGACTCAAATTCTATTTTCTACCGCTAATTTTCACAGTTCCACATTGAAGAATGTAGAGAATAGGATTCTTATAAAAACACTTTAGCACATATTGGTATATAATTAATCACACAGTATTTTCATAACTGACCTCTAGGAAAACAGGAACAGATTTTTCATTATTTTTCATTTCTAACAAGCAAACTGAATAAGACAGAATAAAATACTTTTTCCAAGAGTCATAGATTAAACTGGACCAAGAGCAGGGGTTCTTGGATCTGTTATTTCCTTATTTCCTTTAGCTCATATTGCTAAACCTTTTTTTCTGAAGCCAGAGCTGTTGAGTTATTGTGGACTGCTTATTCTGCTTTTTGGCAGAACTGCTAATCCTGTGCAAAGTGGTAGGATTTAAGTGTATGACTTTCACCACTGCTGCCCATATTTGAAGTCCTTCTTTTCATTTAATATTAGATAACTGAAGATAGCATTCATAAAATCAGCAATACCACATAAAATTACCCCTCTTTGAGAAAAGACTTGTTCTACTAAAATACACAAATGGACTCTAATGACATAATTTTGTTAAAGAGCCCTCTCAGTGTTAGAGTGCAAATGACCAAGAAATTAGAATTCTTTAATACAAACCTTTCTGTGCTTTACTGGTGCCATTAATGCCCCCCTCTGTTCTCAGAGGTGACAGAGAGAGGGGAGGGAGAGAGTGGCACATCCTGGTCCTGTGGCACTCAGGTCCTCAAGCTGGCCCCACACTGAGCACCTCCAGCACCTGCTTCAGAGACACCTTCTACCAAGGATGGATTTTCTGGGGCTAGCCTGAAAAACACATTCACCATTTTTGTATGAGACTGATTGCTGCTGCCCAGACTGCTCCTGTGTAATTTGGAGGATAATCTGAGCCAAATGAGGAAGATATTTGCATTTTGCAAATGACTGGCAGTAGTCTAAACAAGAGATTAAGATGACTATATAATTTCTTTGCTCCTTCACCAGAAACAACTGTGTTTATATTCACTAGAATTCTCTTATGTGAACATTCATTTCCAACTAAATCTGTTCTACCATATGGATCAGCTATTTTTATTTCTCAAAAAAATAAAAAAGGTTTATTTATGATGGAATATTTCTTTGACTATTTCTATAGGATGATGGGAGACATGGGTAACCATGAGGTTCTATCTGTACAAAGAGAAAATGTCAATATCTGCAAAGTCATGAGCTTTTCACTTCAACTGTCTTGTCGTTCTATTCATGAGCTATAAGTTAACAGACATTTAGAAAGAGCTAAGAGATTGTTACTTACGATAACTAGCATTAATATAATGAGGAAAAAAATCCCAATTTAGATACAGAACCAACAGACATGAGAGGCACAATGAAATGGGTCTATTTGTAACACCCTAAACCCTTTACCATTGTCTTATCGATATGGTGATTAACTTTATCTGCCATACAGCAATTTTTGCTCTTGTTTATTTTTTGTGTTGTCAAAAGTTTTCAAATGCAAAAATGTAAAAGTCACAATAAGTAAAGAAAATGGTGAAAGTTCATCTCTGCTAAAATTAAAATTAAAAAATGGGAAAAAAAAAGGAAGGAAGGAAAGAAGGAAGGAAGGAGTTTAAAACCTAGATGTTTAGACAGTCCTGCAAGCCCCCTTGTGACCTTACTCTGATATTTAACAAAACATTAATCTTCTTGCCAGCAATTATAAAGAATACAGTGATGTAGCTGGGCTCAGTGAGTGAGTAATAGTAATTCCATTGTTCTCTTTTATTTATGCCTTGGCTGTACCAGGCAGATGAGGTAAGTTGGGGCTTTTTATATGTTATTATTCTGAACTGGCAATACATAAAGGCTGATTACACAAATATCTGTCTGTTTCTGAAGCACTGTTTCACACCTCCTTCCAGCTCATGATCAAAGCGTTTCAACATTTTATTATGAAATCATGAATCCCTGCTTAGTTTGCATATGAATTATAGCCTTTAAAAAAAACCACACTGGTGTACAACAGTGACAGTGCCTTTTGAACCAAGGAACAAAACAAGGTGTTACACATTACTTCTGGAAGGCAATGACTTGCTGATTAATTCTGTTTGCTGGAGTACAGTCCAACCTCCCTAGTGAATACATAAGCCTTGAGACCAAAGATTTTTTCTTTTTTTGTGAACAGGCCAGTGATTTTTTTCCTCTTGTAAGAAACTGAGCTCTATTAGAAGTAGAGAAAATGTTGTCATGTAGCTGTAACCAAAGCAAAACTACAAGAGCTTCCCTCTGCCCTTCTGAAATGCAGTAGCTATTCTAAAAATGGAAAATAATCCAATTGTCTGGTTACTAGCATCCCATGTACAAACCTTGCATTCTGAAAGTTGCTGAGTGGGCTCCACCCATGTGAATAAAGCACATTGAAAGAAGACAGTGAAGGAGAGCTCCCTAAGCCATACACAGATTATGTTCCAGCAGCTCTTAGGAGAACTGCTGCAGTGCTTTAAGATTCACACTTACTAAATTTCAAGGATCAAAAAAAACCCTGATGTTCAAACTTTCTACTTCAGAAAGAGGAGCGGTCAAGGTATCCACTCTGACTTTTTACCTTCTGAGAAACTTGCATTTCACAGAGTCACAGGGCTGTGACATAACACTGAGTTTTGTAAGAACAGCATCCAGTTGCTGATGCTTGTGCCAAGATGTGGCATTCCTGTATGACCTATACACCTAATAGAATGCCAGTAGTTGATAATTTACATATACCTTGTTTTCCTTACAGTGGTCTGAAAAAGTGCAATTCCTATAAAATATGCTAAGGATTTTTCAAGTTTGTTTTGCATAATACATATATGAACTGTGAACAATCTGATGAATAGAAATAAAATTTTATAAGGTTTTACTGTCAATAATTTGCAACTATTAATTTTGTTAAAAGCCATACCATTTCTGTCACTCTAGTCAAAGCAGGATTTGACCCATAATTATTGACTTTTATTTTGGCAATGAAATCTTTCCCCTCTGTTCACTTCTCCATATTGGCAGATGGAGATCGTTTTTATAAATCTTATAAGTATTTTTGCAGATCATCTTTATAAATCTTCACTAAATCAAAATTTAAGGTAGGAGGGGAAAGAGAAACTACTTCTGTTTCATGACCTGCCAAAAGAATAATCTAAACTCTGATTGCTGCACTTCCCCACAGCTGTACAGTGAAAGATCATGTGGCCAAGGCAACAGCCAAGCTGAGAACACTTGGTTTGTTAAAAGATTTTTCAGATCATCAGTAGGTGGCTGAAGTAATTAAACTTAATACAGCATTTGTTTTCTGAACAGCTAAAGGCTTAGCTTGTCACACTGAATCGTATTTTCCTCTTGGAGTAAACGCATGGAGGTTATCCAAAAGCAGATTCAACTGAATGGCATCTGTGTAACCTGGCTCTGTCTCGCTGCTGGGCTCTGGGGCCGTGAGCACTCACACATCTTTTGTCATTATATCAGCCAAGGAGTTATTTTGCTGGCCAATTCAACACATCTGAAACATTCTGTAAAACTAGCTACCGCTTCAGATGTTCTCCGTGAAATAACTCTGAATGTGCATCTTTGACCTTATAGCCATTTCTTCAGCATAGTCTAAAATTGGGTGGGTTTAGATTCTGTGCATTAAAGTAATTGCATTTTTTACCCTAGCACATTTTAAAGCAGAGCAGAACAGCATTGCACTGTGTGAGACTAGCAATTATGCTTTTATCAGTATAAATACATTATTATTGAAATGAATGAATTAATATATAAAACCCCCATGTGCAGACTTAATAAAAGTGCCAGACCAAAGAAGGAGAGATCCCTGTCTGAATGTCAAACTTCAGAAAATAATCCATCTGGTTCTATTCACAGACAGACAGGCCACATCTCAGAGTACCTTGCAAAATCACTGCTCTCCATGCATGAGACACAAACTCACAAAGGCAAGAATTCAGAGTTGAGCCTTAAGCCCTGTTCATAATTTGTTTCATTGTTCCAGCACATATGAGATATGTAAGACCCCCAGCAGCTTTGAGGCTCCTGTTCTGTTCCTGCACAATAGGGGTGAGTTAAGGATTGCATTGTGTTTCTCTCCCCTCAGTTCTGGTGCCTGTGTAAGCTTTAAAGGAGATATTTAGAATTATCTGAATGAGGTTTTATGGTAATGTTGAAACAACAAAATAATATTTGGGAAAAGAAATAAAATCCTCTCTCAAACTAAGATACATTAAAAGTCGCTCAGTATATCATGCAACTCATTACATGGAATTGCACAATTCCTCTGAGCTATGAATTTACATAGTACTGGAAACCATAAGAGATAAGAAAAGATACTTGTAGCCAGTGCTGTAAGAAAAATATTTTTAATATGAGAAAATATACTTTTTCATATACTTTATATGCTCAGCCTAGTAAATTTCTACTTCAAAAACCAATTTTATGTAACAAAAATTTATCAAAGCTAATGTCACATAATTTGATTTTATCAATTTTTTGCACTATGTCTTAATAATTATTTTGTAGTCTCATGAATCCCTGACTTTATGGGATAGAGACTGCTTTAGCTAGACTCTAATGGATCACAATGACAACTACTTTTAGAAACACTCCTGTGTCACATGCACAGAACTCATCAGCATGGAGAATTTAAATATTAAATGCATACAGAAAAGTATCATAATTAGATACAGTTACCACAATAAGATGCATTCAAAAGGCTTAGAAATACTCATTCTTTACCTATTTTCTACTTAAGTGCATAGAACATAAGAATCTTTCTGTAAAATTTGTAAAAAACTATACTTTTAATATTATCAATACAGAATTGAGCTGCAGGTTGCACAAAAATTTAGTGTGCACCTTGAGGCACTCAGAATTAAAAAGGCTACCCAGGTACACAATGGGATTGAATTATGCTTATGCAATTAGGATATTATACCATTTGCCACTTTGCTGGCCCATGGAGACTTGTATTCTCTGCCTGGAAATATCTGATGGTTTTGCAGGTTAACTAGAGATAAGATTGTTCACAGTTCTAGAGCTCCAGGTCAAGATGACTTCTAGGTCTCCCAAATCTGGAACATGATGTAGAGAATTTTAGTTAAGTATTGCTGGCTTGAGGACATCTTTAAGAATGAGAAAGGAGCCATAGGCTCGGCACAACCAGTAGAAGTCATAGAGCCCAAGTTATTTTCATTTCAGATTTCTGAATTATGAAGGCAAAAAGACTATAATGAGATTTTATTATCCAGAAGCAAAGCTGTAATTAGCAATGCTTTAAGAAAAATCCTGAAGAAACATAAGGTGGAATATGCTCTTCTTGGAGTAAAACAACCTTCAGCTTCTTTAGGGTAGGTGGATGCTGCTTTCTGAGAGCTCTGGCTGCACATGGCTGAACTTCTCAGAAAAGCAGTTGTACTTCTCTTTTGAGTACCCCTGCCAGAATGCTGAGGGTACCCTTCTAATTCGGGAAAGTGGACAGGGAAGAACAAAGGAGGAGGATATAAACACTGTCTGATTAACACAAGTGTATCTTACCTTTAAATTTTCTGAGAAATGTTTCGTTTCCTCTTGTTCTCCAGCTGCAGTTGGAGTTGCAGTTACTAAATTTCTGCAAAAGTGAATGAGGAAAAACTTATTTTGGGGCTCTAA